GACAGGAGAGGTCTGCTGCGCCATGTGGGATTCTCGCCTGCCGGCCAGGATCAAACCCACCCTGCAGAGGCTGCGGACAGCAGCGCTCAACCACCTGCGCCACCAGGGAGGCCCACCTCACCCTCATGTTTAAGTCCTCAGGACAAGACCCAAAAAGCAGGCATGCAGAGAAAAACTTTTAAAAAGTTTTATTTACAAGAGTAATAAGAAGAGGCAGGAGAGAGTAATTGGCTAACTTTCTTTTGGCAACACCAGCTGAAACACAGAGTACAGTCACAGTCTGAAAAAGCCAGAGAATCAGAGCACACACATATTGGCCTTAAGTAAAGCACGGCTGCTTAACTTTGCCCTGTTCTGGGCAGTCCCCCATTCAGGCTTATGGTATGCTATAGCTAGAGGTTGTAGCTCTTGGTGTGCCTGAGGTCTTATATTGGCCTGGAGATGGGCGTGGAGTCCATAAATATGTCAGGGGTAGAGAAGCTATTCACTGACTCAAAAATTGCTATACTGTTCCTCTCACAAAACAAATGCCTACCTTCAGATTGTTATAAGGAGTAAATGAGACACTACATGTAAAAGCACTGGCACATTGACCAGCACAGTGTAATCGAAGAGGCTGTGGATGAGAACAATCACCTAAAATCCAGGAGCTGGAATGAGCCTCAAGGATGATCACACCCAAGCTTCAGACTTTAGGTAGGCATTTAAGGATGTGCATTTTACAGAAAAGGCAATTAAAACAGAAACTTTAAGAAGAAAATTGCATCTTTCCTCCAATAAATAAGACCGGGGTAAGGGGGAAGGCAATTTTTTGTTTTTTTTTAGGTCCAGTTTTGTCAAAGGCCTCATTCTCTCATACAAAAAACACGCGACAGGATCCTTTATCTTCCTTGTGCAGCAAAGTCAAATTCTACCACTCCAAAGTAAGGCATTTTGGCAAAAGATTGACTTCTGGAAGGGGCTCTGAAGACTGGGTAGAGGTTGCTTGATAAATACTTGTATGTAAACTTCACTCTATAAAGGCCTCTCAGAAGACATAATTTTCTTCTCTTTTTTCAGTGGAGAAGGCAGAACTTCAATATGAATATTTTTGTTTATGATGCTTCCCTGGTAACCCCCCTAACTGAACTCTTTCTCCACCCCACAAAGTCCCCACCTTAGTTATGCTTCTTAAGATGGAGTCTGAACCCAGGTAGGCAGGTTATTCAGTCATGCTGGTTATCTCCTGTACATAGGAGGTACGTACATTTTAGTATTAAACTTTGTTTTGTCCTTTTTTCTTATGAACCTGTTTGATGTTTATTTGATTATTTGCTAGCCTACAAGAACAAAGAGGGGTACAGGATGATTTGCTTTGCACCCCAACATATGTTATGCTGTCTTCAGGAGCAAATTCATAGACACTGCAGATTTGATATGGAAGTTTTAAAATGTTTATCTTGAATCAAATGTAAACTGATGAGTATCATATGGACTCTCTTTGCCATATGGACTCTCGCCCGCTGGCCAGGATCGAACCGGCGCTGCAGAGGCTGCGACAGCTTCACAGCGCTGCGCTCAACCGCCTGCGCCGCCAGGGATGGCCCGGAATCAAATTTTCTTATAAAGCAAATATTAAAAAATCATACAGCCAACACTGAATTTAACATAATTAATAGTTCTAACAAAAACCATAAGGATGTTTTCAAAATCAGAAATAATACAAAGATGTGATCTTTTCTCTATTTAAACTTTGGGCAATTGGGCCTCACTGGTGGCGCAGGGATTAAAGACAGCGCAATCAAGCTATAACCAGCCTCTGCAGCACAAGTTCAATTCCTGGCCGGCCAGGGAGCCACCCACATGGTGCAGCAGACCTCTCCTGTCTCGCCCACTGCTCCCTTCAGCAGTGTATTTCAGTCAGTCTGCCTGTTCTGCTCCCCACTCTGTCTCTGGTGGATCCTCTCACCACCCCCCACACCTCTGGTCTGTACCCAGTTCTTATATGCATAAATAAATCTTTAAAAAAATAAACTTTAGGCAATTAAATGAGAAACAAGGATTATAAATACTGAGATGAAACAAATCATAATTTATCATTTCATCATTCCGTCTGCTTTTCATCAAAACTGACTCCTCCAGGAAGATTCTCCAGGAACCTCCAATCTTTCTCCAGTCATATGCACCAGCTCGATCATCTCCCAACTCAATTCTTTCACACTGTGAGAAGACTACCTGAATAGTCACTATCGTATTGTCACAATTACAGACCAGGACATTCCCAGTTTGCCCCTTCCTAAAAATATGTGTATCACAATCCAATCCAGTGATGCCACCAATAGCCTCACCTGTGTCCCTTCTCCTCTCTCCCTCCCCCATACTCTAAAGTTGGGCTGCAGCCTCCCTTACTGCTCACAAGAAGTGATGGGGCATGTAATGCAGGGATTATTTAGTAGAATAAAGAAATAGAATTCAGGATTCCCAGTGTGTGGGTGAGGGGAGATGCAGGACGTGGTGCAAAGATGAGGGGCAACTATTCCAAACTCAAGTTCAGCAGGTGGCTGAGGTGCACCAAGACAAAATTGCCCAGAGCACATGGAAGCCCAGGTGCAGACAGCTTTTATGTGAACATACTTAGTCCTCAGCTAGGAATATACTGGACATACCTAGGACTTGATGCTAGGAATACATAGAAGCCATAAGGAGTATGACTAGAACTGTCTTCCTTCTCCACAGTAAGAAATTAGAGGATAATGTCCCAAACTCATGTTATTTAGAAAAAAGGTAAATGCAAGAAGAATGAACAGGGTCTCTGGGGGGAGAGGAACTGGGTAGGATTTTTACTTCTTTTGTAATAAGCATTGTAGATAACTGACCATGTGCGCAGGTGTAGTTCCTAAGAAATAACTTTTAAAAATATGAATATAAAAGAATCAAAATGTTCAAAAAAACACACTGAATAAATCTTGATGGCAACTTTCCTTCCTACGGTAGTGTCCTAAAGTAGTTTATTTTGCAAGGACCTTTCATGCTGAATTTTAAGAAACTTCTAGCTTAGAAGAATGGTGTTTAGTGCCCTTCAAAGCAATGACACACTGGGAGCATTAATGCTTCAATCAAATGGAAATCTTCCGCTTATAACTATTAACCTTTAGCTAGACAATGATCAGCTTTTAAACTTTCAGAACTCATTAAAATTCTTTTCAAGGAAAGAAAGGCATTTGAGAATTATGGAATTACTCCATAAATAGTACAGTAGAATTTTAGTGAATAATTCACAATAATCAAATTTCAATTTTTAATATGCAAATAATTGTCTTAGGATGGTTGGGTTATAACTGAGTCTTATTGCTAATAACTGACCCATTTTGCATGTATTTAGAAAGAAAAATATAAAGTAGTATTGAGCTCAAAAATGACAGCATGGGGAGGTGCCTTGCCACTAGTATAATCTTAAAGATATATTTGTGGAGTCTTCCTTTTCTACCTTTAAGATGGTCATTTAAAACAATCAGAGAGGACAAGTGCTGGTTACACAGTTCAATGTGTTCAGAGGCAGGGCTTGGTCTCTGCAGGCTCTGCATCCTTTGGGGCACTGCTTATTACCAAGGGAGGATGCATGCTGGATGCGGCCCTTCTCAGGGAGCCTACCACGTGCTCTAGACCCTGGGTATCAGCTCAGGACCACCACTGCAGGAGAGGGACGACAAAGTAAAATAGCCTTGGCTGGTCTGTGTCCCACAGGGGGCTCTTCAATGGGGACCTCCAGAAATGACAGCATAACAAGGACAAGAGGACCATCAAGAGAACCACATGACAGAGGTCTGGTGATATTTGAGGTATGTATAAAATATGTCACCAGGTTTTTCACATCAGTTTTTATTGAGCACCTACTCTGCACCCAGCATTGCATGAGGTACCATGGACTATGGCGAATACAAAAGTATAAGATATGGTACCTGCCCTCAAGGCTACAAAACTGGAGGCAGAAATCAGACGTATGTGACTCAGGCAGCATGTGATATATACAAGAGTGCAAGTTTGAGACCACGTGGTGCTAAAAGGCCACGAGCATCCACAAGTCTGTTCTCGTAAGAGTAGGAGGGAATTAAAATTGGATCAGGAGGGACTGGCCTGCGTGGAATGGGGAAGGATGAAGCAGCAAGGCCACGTGGCTAGAGCTGGAGTTTGTGTTCCACTGAGGTCACTAGGAGCCTGGACAGAAGCTGAGGGCTGGGCTGGGCCTGTGGGCAATGAGGATATGCTGAGACCCCTCTTGATATGAAGGCTCAGTGGGCTCATCATGGATTCCCGCTGCCTCCCTCTCCTCTCCCCACACACCCCAGTCTGTCTCCCAGGCCATCTCCTAAGGAAATGGAATCTGCATGTTGAGCTGGGCCAGTGTCAGAAGTTTAGCAGCTACTGGAGAGACTGATCAGCCTCTAAGAGAGGGGAGGTTTGTCTGACTGGATATTTGCCCTGAAGTGGTGGAGCCAGGCTACCCATGCTGTTTGACAAGGTCCAGGCATGGGGGAAATTCCTGAAAAGTCAGGAAGTTCCGCAGCTGGCTCCTGCTACTTCCTTTCATTTGTTTATGGCAGTTTTCACAATCATGGAAATTTTCTATAAAGCTTTAAAATGACATTATGAGTACTGACGTTAATACTAGTTTCGGTAACGCACACTCCAGCAGTTTGAAAAATGTATCAATTCCAACATAATTGATAATGTGACAATTTCCAATATTTCTCCACATTCCCCGACTTGTAAATCATCTACCATAAGCAATACTAAAATCTTTAACAAATCATGCTTGAAAGAACTATTGGAACCAAGCTTGGTAGAAGTCCTCACAAGAGGAAGCACTGAGGCAACCCAGAGACAAATTGGCCTGAAAAAAAAATGTACCACATACTGTTCCCACAGTAGGGGGACCCAGTGTCCCAGCAAACAAATTAGGAAAAATAAAATTGCATGATTGTATGATGTAATGATCAAATAACAAATTTCTGATGTATAAATAAAGCTCCGCTGAGGCTATCAGTAGGAGATACTTGTCACCTGATCGAGTGTCAGGGTCTCCTCATTCCCTCATCCTTCACCTCCGACGACGCCGTCTCATCCTTCAGGGACCCTGCCCCGGTCGGAGCTGGACTGCGGCACTTCTCAGTAGAATGTGTTCCTCATATAGTCCTGATATAGTCCTTTTGGTTCCTCATATAGTCCTGACTTTTCAGGAATTTCCCCCATACTCTATCTTGTCAAACAGCATGAGTAGCATGGCCTGTGCCAGAGGAGACGCCATTATTATGTAGATCAGCCTCTCAGGTTTTTGCAGTAGAACAATCTTATTCAGATGAGGAAGGGGCTAAAGGGGACAATAAGAAAAACCGATCAGCTTCCCCCCAGAAGAGGGGTGCTCAAGGAGGAGGCCGCAAAATATTGTGAGCATGACTGGAATCTCTTGGCTAGTGCCCCAGATTACAATTCATTAGCAAATTTGCCTAAGCCTCAAAAAACCCCTCCGAAAACAAGATTTAAGAGCCATAAATATTACTATGAAAAACATGGGAAGTTTTGCAACCAGGATTACCATTTCCTGTTGCTGTTCCTAAGGGAGATCATGTTATAGTCACAGACTTACAAGATTGTTTCTTTACCATTCCCTTGGCTCCTCAGGATTGTAAAAGATTTGCTTTTCGTGTCCCTTCATCAAATCTTAAACGTCCTTATCAAAGATTTCAATGGACAGTGATACCTCAGGGAATGAAAAACACCCCAACTTTATGCCAAAAATTTGTAGGGGCCTCCCCTGGTGGCGCAGCAGTTGAGCGCTGGGCTGTGAAGCTGCCCACAGCCTCTGCAGCACCAGTTCGATCCCCGGACGCCGGCGAGGGTCCCACTTGGCGCGACAGACCTCTCCTGCCGCGCTAGCTGCTCCCCTCAGCAGTGTGTTTCGTCAGTCTGCCTGTTCTGTTCCCCGCTCTGGCTCTGGTGAATTCTCTCACCCTCCGGTGCTTCTGGCTGTACCCAGTGCTTGTATAAATAAATAAATCTTTAAAGAAAAAATTTGTAGATTTAGCCCTATCCAGCTTTAGAAAAGCATATCCTCAAGTATACTGTATTCATTGCATGGATGACATATTAATTAGTCATCCACAGTATTCCTTGCTACAGCAAGCCTTAAATGTCTTAACATCCTCTTTGCAGAATTTTGGGCTTGTTATAGCACCTGAAAAGATTCAAATTGATGCTCCAATAAATTATTTGGGGTGCATTGTTCATTCATTGTCAGTGTCACCTCAGCTCCTACAACTAAGGACTGATTCCCTGTACACATTAAATGACTTTCAAAAATTGCTAGGAGGGGCCTCCCTGGTGGCGTAGCGGTTGAGCGCTGGGTTGTGAAGCTGCCCGCGGCCTCTGCGGCACGGTTCGATCCCCGGATGCTCCCCGGCCACCGGAGGAGGGTCCCACATGGCGCGCAGACCTCTCCTGCCGCCCGCTGCTCCCCTCAGCAGTGTACTTCGGTCCTTCTGCCTGCTCTGCTCCCCGCTCTGGCTCTGGTGAATTCTCTCACTCTCCCGTGCTTCTGACTGTACCCAGTGCATGTATAACAAAACAAACAAACAAACAAATAAATAAAACATGCCTCTATAAAAAAAAAAAATAAAAAAATTGCTAGGAGATCTAAATTGGGTCAGACCATATCTTAAGCTCACTACTTATGACCTCCACCCTCTTTTCAATATTTTACAGGGCAACTCTGATCCCAGATCACCTAGGCAACTAATCCCAGTGTCAGTGTCTCCTCATTCCTCATTCTTCACCTCTGCTGACACTCTCTCGTCCTTCAGGGACCCTGCCCCGGTTGGAGCTGGACTCTGGCACTGAGGTTTTTAAGTTGGGCTGATCAAGAGCAGAATATTCTGGATTCTCCTCACAAGGACCAACCCACACTGAGAATTTGGTGTTACCCCAAAGCCACATGTATCTAGAACTTTCTGTAAAACCAGAGGTGACTTCAGGAAGCCCCACCTCCAACTTATAGACCCCTCATATAGTCAGTTGTGGTCTCAGAGAAGCAGATTCCACCCTGGACCTCACAGGAGATAATTTCCTCTGCCACTTAAACGGCCCAGGGAGACTCAGTGGGTTTCCCTTCGGCTCACTTTGATGTATGTCTAACTCTAAGTCAGTCTGTTTAAAGTCAGGGAAGCTGTCAGTACAGTGGCTTTGGGTGAGGGGGAAGGGAGGGAGCTATGGGACTTGAGGACAGCAAATGGCCTTAGATGTAATGTCAACTGGCCTTTCCCTGGAACAGCTGCATGGCATGCTTCACTGGGCAGCAAAGGGTGCTTTGCATCCTAGTCAACCAGGAGAACAGGGCCAAGTCAAAGGCAGTAGATAGAAGGAAGGGAGGGGCCCCCATGGGCCTCAGGGTGAAAGTTCACACAGGAAACCTCCAGAGCTGTGCAGCACAGCTGGACCAACAGCACCAAGCGGGGCTGCGGCCACAGGGAGGGCTGCAGCCGGTGTGGGGTCTGCCGCCCCTACCAGAGTCCCTGTCCAGGCGCCCTGTCCTGTCCTGGACCCAGAGCAGAGGCCCTGGAGGGTGGGGCGGGGCAGGTGCGGGGCTCAGGGCCTCAGCAGGAGGCGGGTTCCGGGCCACGAGCACAGGAAGGGGACCAGGCAGTGCGTGAAGGTGGCGGTGAAGGTGTAGAAGGGCTCCTGCGACTCCGTGTTGGTGAAAGTCACGGAGCCCCCTTCATAGTCCAGGGCGATGCCCACTCTCCAGGCCCCAAGAGCTCCGCCTCAGGGCTGGTATTGGCCCAGATGCCAGCGGAGGAAAGGCACAGTGCCCACACGCCATCCTCGGCCGTAGGGAAAGGGCTCCCACCTCTTGAGGGAGTAGCTGGCCACCCCCACCATGCAGCGCTCCTGGGCCTCCTCCTCCCCCTGGACTCCTCATCCTTGTCAGTTTCCCAGCCTTTCGGATGGGGAGTCATAGCCGGCCTCCTCCTCCCCTTCCTCCCCCCCCTCTCTCCCCCTCCCTCCTCCCCTCCCTCCTCCCCTCCCTCCTCCCCTCTCCCTCCTCCCCCAGCCCTCCCTCTCCGCCTCCACCTCCCAGTAGACTTTGCCCCAGGTGAAGCCCTTACTGTCCAGCACCCCCAGCCCACAGTCCGACCGCTGTGGGGGCAGGCGTGGCCATGGGGACAGGCATGACAATGGGGGCGGGGGTGGCTGTGGGGGCCCGAAGCGACGTCGGTGCTGGCCGCTGGAGGTCCCGCACTTCTGGCCCTTTGACGGCGGCAGGCGCCAGTTGGCTGACCGCAGGTCCGGGGACACGCTCGCTGTGGGGACAAGGGGAGACACAAGTGTCACAGGTGGACGGGAGGGGTCCCAGGTCCCCATGGGGTCAAAGGGCAGGACTGCAACACCCACAGCCTCATTCACAGCCAGATGGACAGCACCGGGGTCTCAGGGCGCAAGGTGCACAAGCTGCTGGCAGGGCTGGAGGAGCTGGTGGGAGTAGCTGTGAGGACAGAATAACCACACCCGGGGCAGGAAAGGGCCAGACTACCAAGTGGAGGCTCTCAAGCAGACTAAAGAGGAGTAGACTGGTCGGAAAATGCAAGGTGGGGCTTTACATGAGCAGCTGGGAAATTCTGCTTCTGATAGAACGTGCTCCCGGGATGGGGCTGGGGGACAGCAGCGGGCAGTCCTATTCTCCGTGGGGAGGATTCTTTTTTTTTTTTTACAAACAAGAAAGTAAATTTACTTAAATTACTAAAATAGCTTTTAAAGTAATTTACAGACAGGTTAGCTGTGACAAATATTTTTCCTGAAAGAGGTAAGTGAAATCAGTTCCTTTAAAATTATTTTGGTCAGTGAAACATTTAATAAAAACATATGTTTCATCATATAATATACACGTTATAAAAGTCTTTTCAAAAACTCCTTAGAATCTTCTATAAATCAGATAATCTGACTGTGATAAGAACAAATTACAATAAGGGGTATAAATACATGAATACTGGTAGTCTCTAGTAGAAGGAAACTACGCTACATTCTACTACCAGTGACGGGATCCTCAAAATAATCATGCCAATGATGGGTTGTGGTACTCTACAAACAGTATTTTCACTTCCAAAAAAAAAGTGGATCTAGAATTCTAAGATTCTAAGAAAGCCAAAGTAATTGGTAAATGAGAAAGCTTAGCTATATAGATGCAAAGTTACAACTGAAAAATACTAGAGTACAGTAATGTATACTCATACATTTTAACACTCTTCATATATGGTGATTTTCACTCTCTTTTTGATTTGAAGTACTCTTAAATAAAGATTTATCGTGTGCATAGTAAATCTATCTATTATAAGAGCATTCAAATACACTCAGAAGTCCTTTATTACTTTTGTTTCTTTAAGCAAAAGTTGACTGCAACATACGAACATTCAGAAAATGAAATCTTCAGAAATGTTGGTTAACATGGTTTACCAATTCCTGAAATTATTTTCTCAATTCAAACAAATGCTTCAGGTCATGTCCAAATAACTGGATAACTGAAAAAAAGCAAGTCTACTAAGCCTTGTGATACATATGCTTCCAAAGCATGCTCCTAAGGGGAAGGGCTAAACATTGTTTTAAAGAAAAAGGACATGCAAAAAAACAAATCCCAACAGAAATCACTGAGAATGGAGTTCATATAACTATGTTTGATTGACTTAAGTCTCAGTGGCTGATTTTAACATTTCATCTCATCACTTTAGCTCCCACGTTTCCCATCACAATTTCTCATTTTTTCCTTGCTTTCTTCCCACCCTCTAAAAAAAACCCCAAACATACACTCAGTTGAACTTGCATTACTTTAGCTCCTTTAAGCAGAAGCTGACTAACACCTAAAAGATGTGAAAGAGAACAAAATGGGAAAACCCATGGCTGCATTTAGGGAGCTGACTTACTAGTGACTCAACAAACTGAAAAATCTAAGTTATAAAATCGGGAAGATTCATTGGAAGGACCCTAAACCTTCCCATGGGTAGCAATAATGATTCAAACCAGAATCTGAACAGATCCTCTATGGGACTGCAAATAATTTATAGTTCTCAGATACCATTAAGAGAGTTCTCAATGAACACAGGAAAATGATTCCTTCTCCAGTAACAGATAATTGCATTGAATAAATGAGTTAGATGTCCTATGTTGACATAAGGACTTAGCTTCCTTTAAAAAGAAACCAGTTCTTTCAAAAAGAGCTCTGAGTCCATCTCTGGTTAGGAAATATGAATATTCTTTCAATTTGGGATATGATTTTCTCTTCTGTCACCCCTTAAAAGCCGATGCCCCTCTTCAGGTCATGTTCAGGTTGTACAGGCAGAACTACATGAGAAATACGGCTCCAGAGTCCACCCAGTTTGTCCAAGTCCATGTGATTGTAGGAGCTGGGTGTGTTAGAGTTGATGAACTTGACTGAGGAAATCCCTCACTTTTTTCTTCAATTTCCTTTAGACCTAGACTGTTTCAAGTGTTTCTTCTTCCAACTGGACTGTCAGGACTAAGACTACATCTTTGAAGGCTGCATGTTTATGGTCACAATACTTATAGAAGATCAAGGCAGAGCCAGCAGGCAGTGACTCGATGTGGTGTACCACAGCTTTGCCTTCCCCATTAATCCGGATGGCATGGCCACTATGGGAGGAAGAATAGGCATCAGCAATTTGTTCAGTCAGACACCTGAGTACTTCCTTCTTCAGCATCTTGGGCAGCAGTAAGTAGTAAGATAGCAAGCTGGAGCCGAGGCTGGGAGCTATTAAGATGTTTCTCCAGGAATGTTAGGCCCCTTTTCCACAGCTTCTCATCTTGACCTTGGTATTTATTCATAAGTTGTTTCATCTTGTTCTGGAACACAAACAGCAGTAGTCGTTTCTACCTTAGATGAATGAACCAAGAAATCCCAACAACAGAAAGCAGAAATAATACCAACAACCACTTCATACTGAAAAAACTTGCATTCTTGGGTTGTTCAGCCACTTTTGATTGGCTGGAGGTTGGTGGAGACTGATTGCCAACCTTTGATTTCTGTGTGCTGTCATTTTGCATTTTAGACCCCCATTTTGTGGTTTGTTCAACCCATTTCTGAGAGTTTTTTGGATATCTTAGCACTGAACGTTGTTTATCAAGAGCTGTGAATTCTCGACTTTGTGATGACCGCCAAAGTAATTCTGGATATTGACTTGACGATCTGGAGGTTTGATCTCCAGTCTCCACGGATTCCCTGGATCTGGCATGAGCGGTCACATCACTCTCAGAGCTGTTTTGATCATCATCTTCACTATTTTCTTCAGAGAAACTGGTCTCCGGTTGGACACTGGTACTTTCTAATTCACTCATTTTAATATTTCCATTTGTTTTGTGTGCCGAATCAGATCTGTTTCTTCTTAGAGGGGACCTACGGAGGTCACATATAGGATCTTCATCTTCAATCGCAGCTGAGATATCTTGTGTTCTGCTAGTTTTCTTTGAGACCATGTTGCTTAAAACAGTTTGTGAAGATAGCAATGGTTCATCCTCTTCAGAGAAATGTGAGTCCCGTATCCTTCTTCTAGTCGTAGCTAGAGACTGCTGTGGCGGAAGCTGCCATGAGTTCTGCTGCTGCTGCTGTAGGCGGGACACATTTCATGTCTTCATCTCTTCAGCTTCCTCGGATCTCTGCTGCCTCAACTGAGATCGAAGGTAGTAGATGCTTTCTCTCACTTCCTCTTTCTCAGAATCAGACAGGAACTCTTCCCAGGAGTATTCTTTTTTTTTTTTTTTTTAATAGAGGCATGTTTTATTTTATTTATTTATTTGTTTGTTTTTGTTTATACATGCACTGGGTACAGTCAGAAGCGCGGGAGGGTGAGAGAATTCACCAGAGCCAGAGCGGGGAGCAGAGCAGGCAGAAGGACCGAAGTACACTGCTGAGGGGAGCAGCAGGCGGCAGGAGAGGTCTGCGCGCCATGTGGGATCCTCTTCCGGTGGCCGGGGAGCACCCGGGGATCGAACCGGCACCACAGAGGCTGCGGCAGCTTCGCAACCCAGCGCTCAACCGCTGCGCCACCGGGGAGGCCCCTCCCAGGAGTATTCTTTATTTGAGGCAAATGTCCTTGGACACTCACCTTTCTCATACTCCAAGTCTCTGAGCAGCTTCTCTGGGGAGAAAAAAGGACAGCAATGACCCTCAAGCCCAGCAAACTGAAAGTCCATTTCTTACTCAGTCTTTATTTCATGACCAGGGCTCCCTCCTGAGATCCCAAGAAGAGAAACAACCAGGAGAGGAATGAGGGGTCAGGACTGAGCTCAGAGACAACGGGAGGGAGCCAGGTCTCCTCCCTTAAAGTGGCGCCTAGCTCCTGGCTCCCACCTGGAGTTGTGCCAACACTTACCTTGGAACTCTTGCAGGCCTTGCTGCAGAGACAGAAGCTTATCTGAGAGTGCTCTCTTTTTCTTCACTACTGGAGAGAGGGGTATCTCAGTCCAGACCTTCCGTGGGTACCTGAGAGGAGGCAGGCACAATCTGTTACTTCCTCCTCTTTAATTCCACTCAGTCCTCATGGCAATTATTAAAGGGAGAGAACAGAATGATTATCTCCTGTCAATGCACAGAAAAACACAGGCCTCAAAGATACCAAGGGAACTACCCAGGGTTGAGTCAGGGCTCAGGACAGGCAGGAGACTCGATTTGCCGAGTACCTGTCTATAAAGCCACCCTCTCCCGTCTCAGACACAGAGAGGGTCAAAGAGTTGGGGATACACAGAGAACTTGCTCGGGTGGAGAGCAAGACTCCAGTTCTCAAGGATTTGCTCTGCTTCAGAGAGGAAAGGCCTTCAGGATGAATCATGGGATTCAGGAACTTTATTGATCCCCATTAATTTAAGTGGGTCAAGGGGGAGGGGCAGAGGCACAGGGGAAGGAGGTACATAGTGGAAAGGAAGCTTTTACCTGTTCAAGATGTCTTTGGAGTCCTGGAAGGGAAGCACAAGCATCAATGAGAATGAGGATTTCCTTCAAATGTCCCAACACTGTACTAGGACCAGGGATGCATCAATGACCAGACAAGCAAGGCCCCTGCTTAGGGAGCTGCCATTCCAGTGGCAGCACTGGATAGAACAAGAAAACACAAAATAATCACAGTGACAGGGAAAATGGAGGTAGGGGTACCAGGCCTACTTCTCTGGGGCGATAGCACTTGTGCTGAGACTTGAAGAGGGAGAAGGTAGTGACAGGAAGGGAAGAAGGCAAGGTGGGGAACGTTTTGGCAAAGAAGACAAGGGCCAGATCAGGCAGGGCTGGAGGCCTACTAAGGCGTTCAAATTTTGTTCTATGTACCAAAGCCAGCAAAGGGTTTCAAGAAGGAATATATGTGATATGTATATGTAGTCTAATTGGCATGTGGTTGAGGTTACTAAGTAATACCCAGGATCCAGCCTCCCATTTTCTCTTTTTTCTTTTATTTTTTAAAAAACTTTAAGGATTTATTTATTTATACAAGAACTGGGGTACAGGCCAGAGGCGTGGGAGAGTGAGAGGATTCACTAGAGACAGAGTGGGGAGCAGAACAGGCAGACGGACAAAAAACACTGCTGAGGGGAGCAGCGGGTGAGACAGAAGAGGTCTGCCGCGCCATGTGGGTATCTCCCTGGCCAGCTGGGAATCGAACCCACGCTGCAGGACAGCTTCACAGTGCTGCACTCAACCCACTGGACCACCAGAGAGTCCCCCATTTTCTTTTTAGTATAGAGCCCCTGGAATAATAGCTGGGCAGATGCCACCCAACAAAAGACATTTCCCAGATTCCTCTGTAACCAGATCTGATCATGCAACTAAATTCTAGTCAAATGGATGTGAAAGGAACCAATGACTGCAATTTTGGGGTAACAGCCTTTATAATAATGAAACTGCTTTTTTATTTCCTCGTCTGAATTCTGGATGTGGTGGTGGTGGTGAACCCAACTTTGACTACGACGCTAAGAATACACTCCAAGAAGTTAGTGGGACAACCAGATGGAAAACAGTTGAAAACACCTCAGGGACAGTCACCCTGAGGGTATTTCAGGGCCAGAATCTACTGACCCCTCACACTAAATCCTGAAAAGCTGAATCAGGAAGATTCCTCCAGCAGTCACTTAAATCACTCATCTGTTGCTCCACCCCACTTTTTAGCATTTTCCCTGGGGCTATCTATCCTCACCAGCAACCCCCACCAGGGAGCACCATCTGTTAACAGTCTACAGCTTTAGCCAAAGTGTTTCTTGGTTACATTAGCACCAAATTGTGGCTGCTGCTGTTTCAAAGTCCCAGGAGGAATGTGGGGGTCTGCTCCAGGGGCAGCCATGTAAGAAATCATGACATCCCCATCCCCACAATGAAACAGTAGCCCAGAGACTGGTTGTAAGTTTCTGCCAAATTCTTCTAATCTGTACCTTAAAACAAGTAAGTTCAAGGCAGCTTCAGGGGAATGGACGACAGCTCTGACAAAATGTGTGCCAAAAAGTCTGCTGATGGGCCTCCCTGCAGGCACAAGGGGTTAACACACAACCTATGGAGCTGTCCACAGCCACTGCAGCATGAGTTTTATCCCCGGAGAAATGCTGTGTAAACGAGTAAATGAATAGGCAGTGTGGGGAGAAGGGCTTGGGGGGGTGGTGTCAATGGGCATATTCTGTGACATGGAAGTTGCTAGAACAGTAGGGAGAGAATGAGGCTATCTAAGGTTAAAGGTTGTGAGCAGTGCAGAGAGGGACCAATATAGGAATACAGACAGGTACAGGAATCCTCCCACACACAGAAGGGGAGATGGGGTGCCCAAGGCAACCTGCAGCCATCACAGGGCCTCCAAGGGAAGCGGCCTGCTCAGGAACTACCACCCTGACACTCCTGGGGTAATCAAGAGGAGACCTGAAGTGGGGACAGCAGTCAGGGCCCACCTCTGGCATGGGACACACGTGGGTGTCAATCAAGAGCACTCGGGAAGGTTCTTCACACATAGGTGGACGGTGACCCACAATGAAGGAGGCAGAGTGTGACCTGACCCCTAAACGCCATCCAGGACTGCATAGGGAGAATGTCGGTGTCTGACCAGCATCTGACAGGGGAGGTCTCTGACCTCCGCACGCTTGTCCTTCAACACTGTCCTGATTTAACACTGTCCGAGCCCATTGATCTTTCTTTGTCTATCACCTTTGTCGAAAGGACGGTTTTACATCATTTGTCTTGCTGCTTCTTGCTCTCACCTGAATTTCTCTACCAGACTTTTGAATCAGGCCTCTATTTTAATCAGGTCTTATTCTTACTGTCTGGGAAAATATTAACAGCAACGAGGAAGTCAGCGGTCCTGCTCCCTTGTAGCAAAAGCAAACCAAAACAAACACGCAAACAAAAACCCATCAGTACAACACTCCATGCACTAGTTTTAAGCAGACACCCACTTTCTCTCCTTCTCTCCTCGTACCTCCTCCTCTCTCCCAGTTTGAATGGTCTCGAAGCACTAAAGGCCAGGCCTTTTTTGGCCCACAAGGTTTTTTGGGTGAATTGGGGTGAGGATGCCCTCTGGGCAGACCCCACCAGTACCCCCAGCCATGATCCTCTGTTCCAGGAGCAAGGGCACCACACAGGGAGGCGGCTACAGGGAAAGGAGGGATCTGTGTCCCTGAGCTGGAAGGAGAAGAGGAGGGGGAGAGGGAGCAAGTGGACCAGGCCGAGTCTGAGAGGAACAGCACGTACCTGGAGGGAGCCAGGGAGACATTTGGGACCAAAAGAGACAAGAACAAGAGCACAGAGGTTTGGGAGTCAGGCCACCTGGATGGAGGCTTAGGCTGGATTCCTGATCTCCCTCCTGGTCTGGGACAGATCCCCTTCAGCTCTCCGGCCCTTGGAGAGCAGAGTCCTAAATCCCTGCAAGCCTGATGCCCCAGCTAGACCCATGATGGAGAGGCAGACGAGGCTGACTCTAGGAGACTGCCGCTGGCCAGGGACAACAGTTCCTAGGGGGGACCTTGGGTGGTTTGCTGCAGCAGACAGGCCTAGTCAGCCTAAACCACACAAGTGAGAAGACCACCCATGGCCTTCTCTGGCCACTGAGGGTGGAAAGATCTAGCAGCCCCTCTCTGAAGGCCCAAGCCCCATTCAGGGACGTGTGAGGATCCAGAGTGAGCTGTCGTTTGTTTCAAACTGGCACCCTGCACTCCAGCCCACAGCTCTCCCTTCTCAGCATCGAAGCTGCTTCCTCCAAGAAGGACTGCCCGCTCCCCACACACCTTTTTCTCTGAGGGTAATTCTCTACAGTCCCAAAGAAAACCTCAGTCATCTATCTCCCTTCCTCAGTTGCCCATTGACTCTAGATCCTTGGGGTCTTTGAGAGAAGCCACAGTTAAGCCCCGACGCTGCAAGCTTCTTTATCTCCAGATCCATAAAAAGCCAGTACTGGTCAAGTGACTGCCAATGACTTGTTCCAACAGGCTCATGATCATAGTGATGAGAATGAAGACAGTAAAGAAAATACTAACTTTTCCTTCTATTCCTACAGTACTTTTTAGCATTTTAAACATTTTTGGTGAAAATTTAGCTTTTGAAGTGACACCATGCCAGTTATCTCTTGGAGGCTTATGTGGCCACTGGAATAAGTAGGGTGGGTAAGGATTATCATCCCCAGGGTTCAGATGAAAACATAAGGCCCTGAGAGGAAGAGGCTCTCCATGGTCCTGCAAGCAGGTGACAGGGGCCCAGCCCTGGGGAGGTCTCTCACCTGCAGGAGCTCTGCAGCCGGCTGCTGTGCCTTGTCCTCCAGCTCAGAGATGACCTGTGTCAGCCGGGCGAACTCTTCAGCACTCCTGGCTTTGTACTGCTCCCTGTTCTATATGAGCTCCTGCCCCAGCTTCCCCAGCTGGTCCAGCAGGTGTTGTTCCTGTTCCCTCAGGATCTGATGGCCTTGCTCAAACTCAGCCATGATGCTCTTCCTCCCTCTGCTCCTGCAGCTTCTCCTACAGGAATGGAAGGGCGGGGAGGGGTGACGGTGACGCTGCTGCCTTAGGTGAAAAATCCCTCCAGGAGGTACACAAAGCTGGCTCTTCCCCGCTATCTACCTCCATTCACCAATTCTCAGCACCCAGCCTCAAAGACACAGTAAGTAAATCTGTTTGGTCTCCTGACAGCACATGGTCAGCCCACTCTATTCCAGGTAACCTGGTATGTTCCATGGCCTTTTAAGGAACTCTGAGAGCCAGCACCCTTCTTTCCTGAACACTGATCTGCCACCTCTCAGGAAGCTTTCCTTAGCTAACTTCATCCAAGCCCAGTCGATCCTCCCTTCAGCTCCCTCCTAATGTGTAAAATACCTGAATGTATTCCATCCCTGCCATGGAGCCTGCCTTCTGTTCTGTCACTGGAAGTGTGGAATGTCTGTCTCTTTTCCTGCTTCCAACTCTCCCCACCATGGTCAGGGTGTGCCCGCCTACACTGGTTAGACTCAGGTACTCCCCTGAAGCCAGTTCCTTCCTTGTCAAGCCATCTGGCTCCCTCCAAACTCAGGAATCCTGTC